ACTGCAGACTGAATCCCCTGAGTCAAATGGCTTAGAAATGGCATGCCGCCACGCTGCAATCTGAGCAAGTCCACCTCTACTGCAGACTGAAGCCATCGGTCCTTCAATTGAAACTTCTGAATGGCAAGATATGCGCACTTGTTTGCTTGGCCTCACCCAACTCGCTCACCAGCACATTCCAGGCAATGACCTCAGGTCAGAGTGCAATACAGCGCAAGTGGCTGTTGCTCAACAGTGAAGCGCAACTGGGCTCTATGCCCCGTCGGGCCGCACTGCTGCGACGGCGGAACGAACAAAGTCGCCAAGCCTGGTGGCTACTTCACGAGAGTCGTCCAGCGTCCCGGTCTCACGGTCAAAGGATCCGGCCGGAAGTCTGCACAGGGCGCCAGGACTTCTCCACCTAGGGAGACACATTGAGACCCCTTGGTTTGTCAGGGGCTTGTTAGAGTTGAATAAGCCCTCGGCCGGACGAGTGCTGCAAATCCCCCGCAATGTCCACCAGGATGGCAAGAATATCCTTTGCAACTACTGTGCAGAGAAACCACTGCTCAAGATCGGCGCAGCTCTTATCAAGGGACCCGATCACGGTCTGTGTGCCTTCGATCAAAGACGGAGCTTGCGAAATGCTTCTCAACCATGTTTGCTCCTGCCTTCTAGCCCTAGCTCCCCCGCAGTTCTGTTTGATGGCTGTGAAGTATCGGCTCGCATTACCCAAAGCCAGCGTTGGCTACGGGCTAATTTGGCCAGCTGGCAATATAATGCTCTGCAAACGTTCAGCTTCTCTGAAAGGAGGCTTGAAGTTGAGGGGTTTGGCCTGATCAACAGCTTCCAACAGCAAGCAGGCCCCAATTCAAACCACAATTACAGAGAGCACCAACGAAAGCTTCCGTGAACTTCTCGCATGGCGTACAGCTTGCAGCAGCTCGAATGATAGGTTGTTTGGTTCCCGCAGTAACAGTAGCATCGCTTGGCTTCCAGCTTCCCTTCGGAGGCAGAATGTAAGTGAGGCTAGAGTATAAGCTTCCCTCTGTGTGCAAGTATGTAAGCAAGTATGTAAGTATCTAAGTATGTAAGTATCTAAGTATGTAAGTATCTAAGTATGTACGTAAGTATGTATGTATGCAAGTATGCAAGTGTGTATGTATGTATGTATGTATGTATGTATGTATGTATGTATGTATGTATGTATGTACGTACGTACGTACGTACGTATGTATGTATGTATGTATGTATGTATGTATGTATGTATGTATGTATGTATGTATGTATGTATGTATGTTTGTATGTATGTATGTATGTATGTATGTATGTATGTATGTATGTATGTATGTATGTATGTATGTATGTATGTATGTATGTATGTGTGTGTGTGTATGTATGAACCAAGTTCAATCTCGGTGCTCGAGACATGTCAAAGCTCCTGTTCTTCCTGACTGGATGAGAACAGAGACCAGCTGCATCACGCATGGCGATGACATGACGCTTACTCACCAATCTCCTCTTAGAAATTAGATATCGCTTAACGATTGCGTTAGCATTCATGTGAGCTCTGGGATTTCAAGCGCATACTACCCAAAAAAAAAAAAGGAGCCTCCAGGCCAGCCTGCTCTATCCATGCGTTGGCAGCCGAAGCATTGTGGCAGACCATTCACACGTCTTCAACCGAGTCCGCTCCCCCCCCCCCCCTTACCTGCCTTACCTATAAGTTTGCGTATTCGCGGACACCATTCTCAGGGCTTAAAGCTCGTGCCTCGCAAGTAAAGCAATGAAGCCGGCGCCTAAGGCTGCCACACCAGCATCTGGTGCACCCTGTGACCTGGTGCAGGAAAGCTTCTTCGCTCAACTCTGGCAAAGGAACACTGGCGCTTTCATAACTCGGGCTGTGGCAAGGAGGGAGTAACATAGTGCCGGGCATCCTCACGAAAGCGCACACTTCTCAAGTGCATGCTGATTTCTGCGATCTGCATGCTGCAATGTTTGTTCCCCAAGACAAAAATGGAATTTTGAGTGCGCCCGCTGGTTTTCGTGGAGAAGTTGGGTGAGGCCCGCAGGTTCTCCCTGAAAGCAACATAGAGTACCAAGAACATTGTGAGTTGCTCATGTCTGTTGTTGGAACAGTCAAGCAGCTTTAACCAGAATGGCGCAGCATGGAGTCCTCTATGACAAGCCTGACATTGACTTCTTCTCCGCCTTCTCCCATACCTTTTCCAGATGCACATACACATCTGCAATTGCTGACAAAACTTGACGACTCTCGGCAATCTGTGCGAAGCACCGAAGAAGTCTTTGCCAAGCTTTGCCACCTTGACACTGTTCTCACTTTGGCTTCATTTGGCCCCTGCCGCTTTGACATCCATTTGACTGCCAGCCGTCACTTGGCTTGTGGTTGGAACAGCTCACCTCACTTTACACAAATATGTTGAGGTGATGGCCTCAGGATCCTTCTCCACACAAATGATGTTTCCTTAGCAGACGCTGTCAAGTGCCGCAAGCAGCTGCTTTCTAGTCGCAATACCTAGTCTGGCGCTTAGCAAATATCCGTTTCCTGCATGAACCACAGCATGAACACAAAGAAAGCAGTCTTTTCCGCGCAGAAAAAGTGTGTCCGGGACCTCTGGCATGCACGTCTCGAATTCCTGCAACCTGATGAGCCCAAGCAGACCCAATGCTTCGGCTCACAAGTTCAAGGTGTTCGTGCCAATCACCTCTCAAACTCTTGCGGAGTTCGTTGAACATTCACATGCACCATGGTCAAAATGTATACAGCGTAGTCAAGGTCCCTTGTTCGCATAAATGTCTCAACCCTTGTTGCCTTGAGCAGTCTCAAGTAGTGATTTTTTGACCGTGGCATTAGTATGGAGCTGGGCGCGTTGGGCAATGAGGCACTGCACCCCGTGCCAAATATTGTCTGCCACGCCTGCGTGCAACACAAGTCGGAAAGCAAGCAGCAAACAACGCCTTGCATGTGCCATGCACAAAAACGGCTTTTCCATTTGACCTGTGTTATAGCCCACTCTGACGCACCCTGCCTCAAGGGAGAAGGGGATTGCAGCATTCGCTTGAATTCCTTCTCGCTCCCGCATGTGGCAAGGAACTGTGACATCTCGCCCGATGCAAACAGCTTGCCCATGCCGTCAACGGGGTAGCCTCTGCTGCAAAGAATCTGCGCTGCTATCTGTGCAGCAGACTCCTTGCCTGTTTTGTCGAGGATCCGCCTGATCTCTACCGCATTGAAGAGGCCAAGAATGGAGACTGCAATTTTGACTGGCATTCTTGACAGGATCCCAGCTGCAATCTCTTCTTGCATGTCCCGTAGAACTTCTGCTGCACGTGCCCATTCCATTTCCTCCAGAACCGCTGCTGCCATCTCTGCCGACATCTCGCTTAGAATGCTCACACTTTCATGGCTGCACATTGATCTGAGACTTTTGACAGCTGCATCCGACGACATAAACTTGACGATCTGTCCTGAAATCTGTGACTTCATGTGCGCCAGACATTTGCCGGCCTTTGGCAGCTGCATTTCCATGAGAATTAAGGCCGCTTCAAAAGGTTGCATCTCTGCCAACATGTCCGCCACCATCTCGTCATCGAGTGCCGCAAGAATAATCTGAGCCACGCCAGCATCAGAGCTGTGCAGCCTAGCAAGCACCATGGCAGATCTGTCCTGGTCCATTTCTGCCACTACCCGTGCTGCCTCACCCCATTTCATCCCCGTGAGGACAGCAACCAGCTGATCTGTGCTGAGACGTGCCATCTCTACGTCTGCACGACTTTGCATGGGCACCACCTCACTCTTCCACTGGGCCGTGCCCAAAGCACATGCGATATCAGCCACGTCTGCCAAGTCCATGTCGGAAGAGTTACTGAGACTCCGAGGTGTGCCTGGCTCCACCGTGTCTGAGTTGACACTCCCGGTCTCAGTCTCGGCCGAGAAGCTCATGGCAGCTTGGCTTTTGAACTTCAAAAGCTGCAAAGGCTGGCAGGAAGCAGAGGTTGCGATAGGCTCACAGCCCGTTTCCAGTTCGCCGGACTAAAGCAAAACGTCTTGTCACCCTGCTTTGCCAAGCAAGCTGAGGATGCTGCTGATGTTCCTGAAAGGGCCCGCCGTATTGCGGTCCCTGTCATACACAAACCCATGCTTGTGACCCAGAAGGAGATCAATGCAATCTGTCGAAGAACTCTATCGCGCAATCGGCCTCAACGCAGCTTTTTGAAGAGCCATTGGCAGAACACCACCTCCTCCACCTAGAACAATCACCTCATCAAATCGTGCTTCTCAATCCGACTTTCTCACACAAAAGTTTGGTCCTGAGGCCCCCAGCCGAGTCGCTGGCCTGACAGCGGTGAATCTATCGATGGCTGAGACGCCATGTCAATGCTTTTACTCATAGAATATGGCGGGGCAGCAAGGTGAGTTCCACAGAACTCAACGCATCCTGCTTAACCTAGACTTGGCTGCCAAATTGAATATCAAAATAGTATGAAGCGATCCCGTGTGCCAGCTATCAGGAACATGTTCTTAGGCCCAAACAGCTTGAGCTGCTTGCTCCTTGCAGACTTTGAATGTCGGAATTTCGCAAGAAGCACTCTGTTCTGTCTGTTGCATGTGAGTCCTTCACAACCTCTAGGAAGGCGGAATGCACCCCAAACATCAGCTGGTCATGGTCAAAGCCGTGCTCTGGATGGTAACGAACCTGACCGTCACAGAGCAGGGGGCTGCGACTTGAGCCTCATGCGCAGCCTCCGTTTGGACAATTCCAATAGAAGACTCGAAATGAAGGGAACGGACCACGCCAGACCTCGACTCACCCATGCAAACCAAACTTAAACATCACAACAAGAGAGACTACTTGGCTGACCAGCCATCATCCATCAACCACAAACTTAGCTTCGGGCTGCCGTGAGGCTGACTGATTCTCTGGCAGGTCTGACGGCATCGCATGAAAGTCTCAAGCAATTCCAGTTGTGCAAATGATCCCATGCCGCTTTCCGCGAGGCCTTGCTCCTCGGTCTCCAGCACAACTAATCCTTGACTGTGAAACAAGACCTGCCAATGAAGATGTGTTCGGCTGGTTGAAATCCACCGCCCGCCTTCCGTGGAGCTGGCCTCAAGCAGACTTTCACCGCCGAATTAAGACTCTATGAGGCACCCACAAGGGATCAAGGTCCAGGTCTGGCATTTTGGCCTGGCACTTGCTGCGCCACCAAGAATGCGGACAGATTGCTTTGCCTCTCGCAAAGAGTGGATGTACTCCATCGCCTGACCAGGGACAGGCGTCAAAACTCGCAATCGTTGTTATAGTAGCTGCAAGTGCAGAAAGCAGCACTTGCACCGATGGAAATGTATTGGGGCAGCAGGGCACGGAAGCCACCACAGGCACAGCAGTAAGCGCAACTCAGCACTGCAATCAGCATGCTCAGAAACTGCATGGACAAAGAAGAAACGACAGACATCGACAAGAACCACCTGGAGCAACGATATCTACTGCAACATATGGGCACTCATATGTATCATGGTCAAACTCTTTGTGTGGGTCATGGTCTGCATGTCCGTTTGTCAAGCTGGGACACTTTAGGATGCGTGAAACGAAGAGAACGACAGTGCTAGCACTAGCCCTCAGTCACGGAATTTGTACGGTCAAGAAGAGTGAGGGTATCGTCGTAAATGGAAGTTCGAGCAGCACAAGAAGTCACCAGAAAGCATGGGAGAGGCATGCACGAAGCATTTGGCGTGCTTGCGAAAACGAGGCCCGAAAAGCCTTATCCAAAATTTGAGAGGAACGGATTCGAGCTCAAACTCCCTGACCCGATCTTTCATCGCCTGCACGAGGCCATGATAAGGATCACGGAGAGGGAGGAGCGTCGCGTCACTGAGGATGGGCCCCACGGGTACAGTGAACTCTTTCGGAAAAGGGACTTCGTGACCGCAAATGGCGACACTGTGAACTAGCAGCTCAGACCAAGAAGGCGAGCGGCCACTAAACTCAATAGGCACGGCACCAAACAAGCGCCACTTAAGGCATTTGAGCAAAAGGTCGTCAGGTGAGCCACAGGAGATCCAGGCCCCAGCAGATGCCATATCCTGCCTTAAGGGAACTCTGAATAAGCTGAAGCCTGTCATCTTGCAGCTGGGGGTCATCCAAGGCGTCATGCCCAAAGGCAAGAGCACCAAAGAAAGCAGAGTGCGGTGCTCCTCCCAAGCCCTGACTAGGGTAAGCACACTCATCTGCAATTGTCTGAGCAGGAGCATCAAACTGGTTGAGATTATCATTATCCCTTACTAGCCTTCATCTACCCCAGCTTTAATTATGGCTCCAGTGACAGAGTGAGGCCCTCTTTTCCGTATCAGCTGGGTTGTGATGTTCCAATCAGCATTGGTGACTGACTGCTGCTTGCTGGATTTGTGCCAGTTCCCGGAGAGCCCGCAGACGGAGTTTGATTCTGAGCTTGCTGGCAATCACCTGCTTTGGAGAGCTGTGGAAGCCAAAGACAGCTTTGTCCCCATCCAAAGCTTTCCGAGCATCGTCCGAGAAGGAGAGGCCAATAAAATCCAGATCAAGAGAAAGCATGGCAAAGGGCCCTCCATTCAACTCTTTGCTAAGCGAGGGAAGCATCTGCGAAATATGATCAGGCCAAGTTTTCCACAATCTGCCCCACTGCATAAGCGCCCAAGCCACAAATGATGTGTGAAAGGTACGTTTCAAGGTGATTCAAAAAAGCCGCTTGTCAAAGCAGAGAAACGGTGCTTCTTGGACTGACGGTGAATCGGTGTGGTTTGCTGAATCATGAGAGTGTGGCTGAAGATGCCACACCTGATGAGCGGCTGGGCATGCGTGACCTGAATCCATGGATGAAACCAGGCCTTCGAGGCCCAACAGAAATTGGAATACCCAGGTCTGCTTCATCAAGGGCCCAAGGGGAAGCGGGGCATCGCGCCTGTGAATCCGAGGGCCAAGTGGAGAGGGACACCGAATCCAGGCTGGTGTCCAGATGGAATGGAAACCGGATCAACATCAAGGCCACGAGTATGAGGGGAGGATGATAGCCACGCTGAGAGCAGCGCAAGCACGGAGTCCCCTTGATGGACCCCACGTCCAGCAAGCACCGGTCTGATGTCGACGTGACCATCGATGGAGATGTACCTTTTCATAGAAGTCATCATGTGCAGCCACATTGAGAGATTGAAGGGTGAATTCTCAAATCTGTGCATGGCTGAGACGGCGTCACCGTGTTGTACCGAATCAAAGAATTTGTAGATCGAAACCCAACTTGAATAGGAACTTGCTAGGCCGAAGCTTGTCCATGCGAAATTCGCCAGATTTCTTAGGAATGAGAGTGAGCTTAAAACCAAATGGATGTTCTCAAAAGGATCAAAAAGAAGGCATGGAGGCGTTTGTCCGCAACGTGTGGAGCCTGGGACTCGTTTTTCCACCCGCCAAACGCAGCTGACTTCGCGGAAGGACAAAAAGAGAGCCAGCGAGAGAGAGAGAGAGAGAGAGAGAGAGAGAGAGAGAGAGAGAGAGAGAGAGAGAGAGAGAGAGAGAGAGAGAGAGAGAGAGAGAGAGAGAGAGAGGGGCGAATACATTCTTGAAAAAGAAAACAAGGATATCATGGAAGAGACAAAGCGCATCAAGTGCCCATGCTTCCTTTGAACAGGGACACTCTCCTGCCTCGGCATGAGTCCAGTTTTCAGCTCGGAGGACCCCTCCTACCCTCAACTCCTCTTGTCAAAAGGGCGAAGCTTGTGGAAGCAAGCGGCAAGAGCTCTCCTCCACCAACAGCTCATCTTCTATGACGCGGGCTGTCCTTAGAAAACATGTTGCAGCCTATGGCCCATCTCTATGCCTGAGTATGAAACTCTGTGACACTGCCCGGTTCTTCTGGTTCCTCGTCACAATGTTCAGCAAAGATACAAGAAGAGAAGCAGTGTGTGCGTGTGTGGAAGAAGAGCATCGCACCCAACTGCTCTTGATGCCCTCGCACAGAACCGCTTCTCTTGCCTGGGGCAACCCATGTGCAACTGGCAACAGGTTGTGGCAAAGCCTCCAACCCATTCGTAGGGCGATGCAAGGTTCTCCGGCCAGTAAGGATAAGTGCCTGAAGCAAGCGCAGCGACATGTTCGGATCCAAAAGGCCAAAGGGCCAAAGGGCCAAAGGGCAGGGCGGCAAGCAGCTGGTCGAGCTTCGTGAACCGAGCACTTCCCCATGGCCGTTAGCAAAGCACATCTCCCAGTCTCGTCAACCTGCGCAATGCCACGTGCCCAGGTGCCCCGTGCTCCTTCGATTGTACTCTTGAAGTCTTTGTTCTGCTTCAAACACGGGGTGTGGCCTTCAGCCGTGCCGCACCCCCGAAGTCTGCCGTTTCGGCGTACCTGCCCACGCTCGGTGGCGAAGACAAATCCGTCAGGCTGCAAGCCGGCTCACTGGGCGAGAAAGCGCGAGGGGCTGAGGCCTTTGAAATCCAGTCATCGGTACGCACCTTAGCAGCCTTAAGCCTCTGACCAAGAGCTTGTGCCAAATTGTCGATCTCCTAAATCGGAAAAGCTCGCTCAAATAGATAGGTCAGCCCTTCAATCAAATTCCAACAGGCCAGCAGCACGGCTTCTGCCTCACGATGCTGAAAAAGCTGTGCAAATGGAAGCATGTCGGCAGCGTGCTGTCTGTCTCAGCGCCAGGCTAGCGGTGCAGATGCAGAGGGCACCCGGCGCACGCAACAGCGACCACAGGCGGTGCAGCCTGAGCATCTGCAGTGCAGCCTCACAGAATCAAGAGAGTGCTAAGCCAAACTCCAAAGCGCAGGCCATTCGCCCACCACATCACAGCCAGGCATGCTGAATCTGCCACGGCGACATCAATTTGCATGCTTCACACGTTCTGTTGGGTTGGGCTGTCTGGAAGTGTACTCTCAACTTTCGCAAAAGGTGTCGTTCCTATGTGCTTAAGCCTGAGATGGAAATTCTGAGAATCGCTTGGAGCACCATCAGCCAAGTATTAAACTGCCCAGAAACTCAAGGTACATCAGGTTGGTCAGCACCTCTTCCACGTTCCTTTCCGTCCCCATCTGTGATGCGCAGGCTTGGTATGCCAATTCAAGGTTGGAGCCGTCACCAGTACCAGTTGTCACCCCGAATGGCCACGGTGTTCAGCGACACTTAACTTTCCCATGAACAAACACGCTGGTACGTGGCGGCTCAGCTAGCACCTGGCTAGCGGCGGTGGCTTTGACACCAATGCTTTGTACAGACCGAGCCAATTAAACGGCTGGAAACACGTCAACTTGAGGCCATGCGGGGGCCGTGGTGCAGATTCTGCCCCGGCTTTGCCAGATCCCCGCCTTCCAGCATGGGCTGGGTTGATCCAAGCGACCAATACCAAAATTCATTCGTGTAGGCAGGGCTTGAAGCAACCCTTGGCCTCGTGGTTGGGAAGTCTCACAGCAAACAGCTGGCCATTGAAAAAAAAGTTAGACCAGTCGGCCATTTTGAGCCAGTTCTCTGGCTGGACTCAGCAAGATTGTAGTGACGCAAGCCGCGGATGCTTGAGCAGAGTGATGGTGACAATAACAAAATAGGTCAATAGTGTTCTTGTCTTGAAAATGCCGAACACGAGTATGTATGACCTTCCGCAGCAGCATCTCTCGAGGAAATTCCGTGGCCTGAACGGAAGAATGGCTACTTGGGCCAAGCCTGACAGCAAGGGCAGGCCCACATCATCAATCAAAGACACGTCATGCTATTTGACTCCACTTTCTTCCTGGATATTTGCCTCTAGTACATATGACTATCTTCATCTCTTCTGGACAATCCAGTGTGGGTCTTTGACTGCAGTGGGCTCTTACAGCACGAAGCATGCGGGCGACAGGCACCGAGGCCTTTGAAGGTGCTTTGCAAGACAGTAGGAACAGCACAGCCTTCAACATACTGGAGTCCAACCAGCAAAGCATATCCAAGGACCAATTACAAGGAAGGGTCTGCTCAAGCAGAATCCCCCAGCAGCCAGCAGCTTTATACAATGTACAGTGGCTCAAGGTACGTTTCGGTAGATTTGAAATTGGAAAGGCCACACATAAAGCTGCTTGGCGTATGCCTTTCGACAACCTGAACCATAGGCGTCAACTGGCCAATCCGAGTCTTCCATCTTGCGGTAAGGATCACCACAACATGGTGATGGTGATCAGGGCTTGTGCCAGCATGTGCCAGAATGTATGCGTGTTGTGGTTGAGGACAAGAATACATTCCACGGATTGACATGAAACCCAGTGATCGACTTGTTTCGACGGCCACTGGGTCACTTTGCAGCCCCTGCACCTGAGCATGACGGTGAGTTGAAACGACTTCCTAGACTGTGTGTGTGTGCCAGCCGCAACCATTACAGCCCGTCAAAGGAAGTGTTGAGCACATAGGGCAGCACAGCAGAATGTGTTGTCCTCATACTTCCAGGCATGCCTGCACAGCTGACAATGCTGACAGCTCAAAGAATCGCTACCCATGCTGTCAAAAGACTATGCCGGGACCCAGGCAAAGTGAGCACATGTTGAAACCATGTTCGGTTCAAGCGCGGCCTCAGTCACAGTTGCTCGCATCCGAGCCATCACTCACAAACTGTCAGGGTATGGAAAACAAAATGGCCAGCCAAGAGGCAAGCTGCCATGTTTCTGGCAGTGCGGGCAGCCTTGCCCTCAGCCAAAATGCAAGTGCTTTGGAGGCAGCCTTACGCTTGGGCCGGTGCCGAGCAGCGCAAGCACGCACCTCGGACCTCGTATCCGTTTCAAAACACCACCGAGAATGTTGAGACTCTGAGCGCCCTGCGTGGCTAAGCCCATATACACAAGGAAAAATTACGTGCGTACGTGCGTGGCAAGGACCTGCACAAGGGGGGCGTGATCACAGCAGCCATTCGCTGTAGATGCACACATCAACTTTGCACACCGAGCAGGCAGTGCTTTCAGTGTGTAGAATATGTAGATCAGCGATCCTGCATTTACGGTGTAGAGGATTGTGCTGCAACCTCAGAAGCAATCCAGGCACTTTGGCAAATGCAGCCGGGCAAGAAGCAACACTCGTAAGCGGTCGACAGATGCTGTACAACGAAGTTGCTGCTCTGCAGCCTTCTCCGCGTGCAGCACATCCTATGCGCTTCAAGCAACGACCTAGTCCAACACCGTGCTGCAATCGCCTCGTCTTCCCCCGAGGTGGATTCCTCGAAGACCGTGGCAGGATCCTATCAGGCGTACGGCCGTCAACGCATATGATCGAAGCACTGTCGTCCATGTAGCAAGATCCTGAGATCCCCCCCACAAATGATATGTCCCGCTCCTCTCCACCGGATGCCGTTTCAGAAGAGCCAGTGAAAGGCTCCTGGGATTGCAAACTTGCTTCTGCTTTGAAGCCTCCCCGCGCCTCAGGGATTGCATACGGCAGCCGCACGGCTCGCCGGGACTTGCCCGCCTCACCAAGCCGCCATGTCGAATCACCGAGAAGTTCAGACCTCCCCTGGCCTTATGGACTCTCAACCCGATCTTGCGAACCTGGCACCAATTCTGCACTTGAGCTCAGAAATGCGCTTTGAAATAAAGCAAACCCAAACCATTCCAGCGTGCCTTCTCATACTCAGCCAAAGACAAGGTTGGATGAAATTCAGCAGCCTGTCCATGTGGGTGATTCATGCACAAAGTCTATGCCTTCAAAAGTGTTGGTTGGTGCACAGTCAAGTCAAGCAAAGTCAGTCTGCATAAACCGTGTGCGAATGCAGAGCATCAAGGATGTATGATGTTGTCTTGTACAGTAGTGGGTTGTTGTTAAAGACAAGTTTCTCTCCGATCACCCACGCAATTCAGTCAGGTGGTTTGCACCCATATAGACATATCTCTGGTGACAGGCGGCAGCCGCGTACTATGGTTACTATGAAAGTATGTCATGCGTCCAAGCTTGCCAAAACCGTTTTGGTGGAGAGGCTCCAACCGCTAGAACTAACATGAACAACGTACTCAAGCTATCAAGCAACAAACAGGCAATGCACCACCCACTCCACGGCAACGTCCATCCGTCATATTCTTTGCGAGCCACCACAAAAACATCTGTCCACCTATGCAAATTGAATGCGAAGATAAGACAGCAAGCTCCGATAAGAGCACGGCATTGCAATGCACAGTGGCACAAAAAAATATGTGACTCTCGTTCGGACCTCATACGAGAAGAATAAGGCAATCCAAACCAAAACTCGAAGTGACAGAAAAAGCCATGCCAAAGTAAGCAATTTCTCAGAATACGTTTCTTGCTGGTGTCGGGCCCATGCTCTTTCTGTTTCCTTTGGGTGCTTCCACCATGCCAATGGACCAAGTAGCGGAAATGCCTCAAAATGAGGATCGCTTTACAACAACGGTTCCCAATGGCCGAATCCGGGTTTTGTCGGACGTCTGTGTGGCGGCAGTGGTTTTACACGTTTGGATACGCGCTGCAAAGCACATGGCTTCTCAGACCAATTGAACCACGAGCACACTCGGCATCGCAAAGCAGGAATCGCAAGCTGATGCCGCACCCCCAATCAGAAGCACGCATCCAGCCCCGATCACCAGATTGGGGCTCCTCTCACAGAGCACTTTATCCATTCTGCTTCAAACTGCTGCCCTTGCAGTTTGTGATCTGCTTCATAGCCATCAGTTGAAAGCTTTCCAACAAGTGCATGGATCTGTGTTCGCACAAGATTCAACGACGGAGAGCCTTGGGGTTCAAGCTTCCGACTGCGAAAGCCTTGCCGCATGCAAACCATGCCACTGCTGAGGCAAATCTCAGCTTACATGCTTCTGTTCTAGATTTCGCCTCGGCTGGAGCTGCAAAAGCCTTGGATGGAGTTTCGACCTGGGTTACAAAAAGGTCGTGATTGAGCGTTGAGAAACCTGCAGGCCTCCATACCCAGCCCCGGCGGAGGGCCGATTGCATTGAGGTCCAGTTCCTGCTGCGCATGTAGAACCACTCCCAGAATCGCAATGTGAGTGAGACAGGCCTCCTTAACTCCATCGTCAGTTCCTGCTTCATGCCATGGCAAATGGCAGTTCACATAGTACACTTTCGGGCTCGTTGCCGGCCTTGAATGTCTCCAACCAGTTCCCCAGGAAGATATTCGGCGCCATCTAGTGCAACCGGAATGTGTGACACTCAGAAAAACCACTATCACAGGATCTGCTTAAGTCACTTCAACGAAACCTCTGCAACAACCTGGCCTTCTCCAAAGTATGTCATAATGGCAGCCTGCACCACCCATGTCTGTGTTTGTGTGAGCAATGCTGCAAGGGCCATCCAAATATGTCAAGTGTCGCATTGCCCGAGCTCAAAGTCAGCCTCATCCAGGGTGTACCTGATACACATCTCGATCCCAAGCGCACCCAATCACATCAAAGGCCAGCACTCGGTCGGGTAGTCGTAATTGCACTCCATGTCTCCGAACATCATGGGGTTGAACTCCGTGGCCTAAAGCCACCCCCAAATGATGAATCCAAGAGAAGGGCTGCCAAGTGTCAAATGCCTGGGGATTGAATGCAAAGTCAGTCTGCTCCGCAGCAGTCTCCTTCACAGACCTGGGCTTGCAGCTTGCCCCGTGCAGCCAAAGGATGGTCACAAGGCCCACTCCCCACCCACACCACGAATTCTTCACCTGGAAGGCCTTTGACCTGAGCGCGGTTTCTTTGGTACATAGTTTGGTGTTTCCCACGAAGTCCGGACACGCCTCCAAGAGACCTGTACGATGCCGGAGCCAGGTGGCGAACGCTTGGCCCTCCTGAGGATGAATGACAGGTGCAGTGGGCCCTTCCAAGAATTCAGGAAGCTGGCTTGCACACTATAAAAACAACGAGCGCGTGACCTTCATGAGAAGCTTCAGCTCTGGTGGTGCCTTGACCAACATCACATGTGGCAGCGCGGAAGCGTCCCTCCGCAGCCTCTTGGCAAAGAGTCGCCAGTAGCACACTGTGTCCAGGCCTCAGACATCGAAGGGGAATTCAACAAATTGTTTCACTTGGACGTCTTCCAACCTGCAAGGCCCCCCTGAGAGCTGGACGCGCGTCGGACACGATTCAGCAAATGAGAGGGATCATTGCTTTTGCCTCAGCCCATGAACAACGCCACGCAGCATCTCAGCAAGGTATGCACCCGGCCCCAACTTGCGGCCCTGGAAGCTGCAAACGATGTCATCTCGTCAGCCGCAGATGCAACCGCGGCAGCTGTTGCCGCTGCAATGTCCTGATAACCACAAGAAGCATGAGAGTCACGAATGTCAGAGACTGATATCTTCGCGGGAATGTCCTTCTCGAGACTGGTGGTGATCAGCTCCTGTCCAAAATCTCCCATAGCTGCAGGGCCCATCACCAGCCAGAGCTGCGCCCTGGCCTCCATCGCTGCCGTCTCAGCCGGCGTCGGCACCGACACCACAGGCGCTGCCGTCGGCGGCCTGGTGCGGAGGAAAGCTTACGAACTTCAAAGAGAATCCTCACACGCCAGTTGCCCAGTCGCCCAGTCGCCCAGTCACCCAGTCCCCCAGTCGCCCCGCTCAGATGCCGACACCACCGTGGGAGACAGCGAGAGACAATCAGCTGAAGACCACTCAGACCATGGTCCTGGTGCAACTTGTTGCCCCAGGCGCAAGAAAACTGTGAATGAGGTCCGAATGCCCAAATTTGCAAAGGTCCTTCAGGGGTACCGAAGGTCGGACTCATGTCAGAGCTTTCCACACTGCCTGGGACGTGCCAGAGGCATCTTTGTGTGACCGTGTCGACGCCCCGGCAGAAACATCCCTGCCAAGGATTGGCCAACAACAATTCTTGCCTCACACTGTTGGGTTTAAGTTTTGGCCAGGGAGGTTGTCTCCCCAAACAAGGGGGCACATCCTCTTTGTGACGTCACTTGATTCCCATGTAGACTGCAGCTTGCCATGGGTCTCGACTTTCTCGCACTTGCACACGCACGTAAACTCAAGAAATGAACCACAGAATTGAGGCGTCAGCGTGGGCTTGCATCTGGGCTAATGTACAATGATCGAAAGCGCACCTTTCCCCACACAGAACATGCAGATTCTATTCAAGCAGCCTCGAGCCCCGCCTGGTCATCAGCCTCATCAGCCACCGAGGAACGCACCTTGGCGATGTTCACAAAAGCTGCGGTAACCCAAAACTCGGGTTTTACCGGTGCACAGGGAGCCGTACAGACAGCAGCCACTCTCTGGTGTACACAAGGCATGACTCTGCCTTCCATACAAGTCAATGCAGCCATGTCTGCCATGTGTCATGTGTCGTCTTGCGGCGGCCTCGCTCACATCACCTGAGCGCGCGAGAATAGGACAAGTAAGTCAATTCCGAGCACTTGGCATGACGCCTGACTCACTCCAGGATGATTGTACCGTTGTTGTTGTAGCCTGCAATGCACATGTGAAGATATAACGCAAAACTGAGCTGCTGTGCTGTCATCTGAAGCTTTGGGACATCCAATTCAGCCACTCGGTGTCCAACTTGATCTTCCAGAACGTTGCACCTCAAATAGATGCAGTGACAAAGCACAGTGGAACAATATCTGCAAACGAATTGCGCTTATCACCTGGGGCAAGTGCGTCATCCCTGATTCTGCTGCCTCCCCCCCAAGTCGTTTCACCTTGAGGCCTAAACCGGCTAGAAACCCAGCGGTCCACTTCCAATCAAGCTCCCGCATTGTGCTCCGTAGCAAGGCCAAAAGAGCGCCAAACTGTTTTGACTGTCCAATCTGGTCTGGTACGTGTTCCGTACCAAATTGCAAGGACTGCCTTCTGCCCGCCCCTGGAAATCCTTGCCTGCAGAGCATGGTCCCAAAAGCGAGTGTTCTGACTCCAGCATACTCGGAGAAAACAAGCAGATCGACAGGGTGGAAGCTCAAAGTGAGACGGAGCTATCAGCTTTCAAGCTGGCATTGCAGCGCCTGGCGCACCCAGCATGCGTGTGTTCACTATGGCAATGTGTTTGCGCCTCGGACAAAGCGTGCTGGCACACCGGACACCTGACACACGCTTGAACTTTCTCGATTCCCTCAGCTCATGCCTGCCTGGGAACACGCAGAATCCATCTTTCCATGCAGCTCAAATGTGCGAAGTGGAGGCCTGACTCGACAACTTGGCAACTCAAGATGGCCTCAAGCCTTTTTTCTGAGGCCCCAGCATGGAAGCCGGACAATTTTCTCGCCTGCCTCATACTCCACGAGACCTGAGAAATACTCAAAGTCTGGCAGTGAAGCACGTGGCGCTCAGCTATCAGTGCCTTGACAAGCATGTAAGCAGCCAGCAAATGCGACACTCTCCGTCTCCTTCACCCCCATCCTGTCCAATCGCCATTTGTCTATCTGTGTACATCTAACACACACGTATATACATAGGTAAAATATAGATACACACATGTGTGTATATGTATATATGTAGTTATTATGCTGTGGCAGAGTGCTTACAGCATCCTCGTCACGGATGTAGCTCTGTGACCATTGCCTTGCAAGCCACTCATACAGCTTTACATGCACGTTTGACGTGTTTTACCATCAATCAATGCTCCGGGGCACTCTGGTTCGAGGACGGAAAGAATCTTGGCTGCCTCAGTGGAAGTTCAGCAATCCTAATGCAAGGCTCCGACCATTTACCGACCTCTACAGATGTGTAGGGCGTGCCAGCTGTCTCAGCCTGTACTTCGCTGCAATAGGAAACACAACAAAATTCTGCTTTTCCATGCCCAAACAGCGCAGGCAGGTCAATGCATGATCTGTGACATAGAGCGCTGTTGCCATTTTTGACAACCACGAGGTCCGAGTCCACTTTCGGAGGGACCTAAACCCACAACGGCCTAGCCTATTGTCAAAACGATTGGCCTCATGGATTTGCTTTGTCAAATCCGTCTGACGTCATGCAACTGCTGATCAGCCCAATCTGCTCCAGAAGGATGTTAGCTGCAGCCATGGCAGTGATTCCTGAAGGGAGTATTCGCGCATATGTCTGCACATAAAGGTACCAACCTTTGGACAAAGCTTCTCGCCTGCATGATCGTAGGCGGGTGCAACCTCCACAACATCAGCTGCCACAATGGGTAGACCCCGAAGACCTCTCAGGATGGCAGGCCTTTTCGGAAACAAAACCCGCACCTCTGTGAGTAGAAGCCGCGCCTCTGATGATCTGGAGCAGCTGGTGTGCCAGCAATCCACCATATTCTGGTGTGCCAGTGCCTTGGAAGGATGAGATATGCAGAGAACTGCAAATTGCGGCATCAAGGTGAAACACCGTAGATACCAGGAGCACATGTCTAGGTTGTGTATCTCCCTGCTCACAGAATGCTATCATCAAAAGAACCGTCTACTTAATAATTGTTCCTCCGTCATACTGTTGTCCTGCACGCTTCCCATATGTGTGTTAAAAAGAAAATGCCAAGAATTGATACAAAATTTGATTGTGCAATGCACAATGCTAGTGAGATTTTGGACACCGGGTCGGAGCAAATGGTGCAACGACCTCTAGGACCTCTTCGGACCTCTTGATGCATCGAGGTGGCCTGGCGCAACAGATGGATCCAAGACATCAATATCCACAGAGAGGTAGACTGGTGCTCCTGCAGCGCGTAAACTTGTTGAACTTTTTCTGGACCGTTGCTGCTATGGCGAAACCCATGTCTGCAAGCACATTGTGAGTCCGTGTAGTCTCTGGCAACTTGCTCCTTGCTTGATTGGGCATACATGGCTTTAATCTCCTCTAGACTCTAGCAGCAACAAAGGTGTGTTTCAGTGTTCGCTCGACAACGTTGACAGTGGCCACCCATTGCCACACAAAGCAACAAGTGCGTGCGTGCAACATGCTTAATTGGAACACATCACATGCTAATGCTGTCGGACTCCTCCGGATTTCTTCCAACGGCGCCAAATAGTATCAACGCAAGCTTGAGATCCATATTCATGGACATCCTGTCACCCGGCAAGGAGGACATCTTGGGTTTATATGGCTGTCAAACTAGGAACTCCTCTACGGTGGTTGTCATGTTGGTTGAAACTGTCTCCAAAGTGATTCCTAGCTTCAACACATACTCAGTTGTCAAGAGTTGAACAAAGACTGCAAACAAAATATCCTCAGCTGTCAATGTCGCAATCCCCATCTGATCCGACTCATGGAAGTCTTCAGCAGAGTAAGTTGTGGCGCGAATCCCGACGTGGGTGGAGCCATCTTTTGCTAGAAGATCCTGGGCACATCACGATCGACGCTGTAAGCTTGCAAGTGTGAACAACGAGCCTCCTCCCAGCAATTGCGGAATGGCGCTCCATGCCACACGTCCTGCGCAACAGACTGCCTTGAATGTGCAAAGACTGTGTGCAAGACTACTTCACACAGTCCTGACCGAATAGGGGAGGGAAGGTGTCCAAATGCGAATCAAAGTGCACCAGTACGACTCGACCATATTTCTCAGCCACGGCTTTGATGGAGGGATAGCTAAGGGTATGGTCTCCCCCGATCACAACCAACCGCTTGGCTATCTGCAGCCTGTGCTTGCAGGCTTGGTAGATTGTGTCTACTGCCTGCTTGATGTTGAATGGTGTTGGAATCACATCTCCCGTGTCCACCACTTGCCGATCTACCAACGGACGCTGCTGCTGGGCGATCATGTACGGCCGGATAAGACGGGAATTGCTTCTGATCGCTTCAGGCCCAAATCGCGCTCCAGGCCTGAAGCTACATCCTGAATCAAACGGAACACCGATAAGAGCAATATCTATTTGCTTGAACTGCCGGTCTAGAAAAAGATCGAACTCGACTGCCTTGTCAGATAGGAGAAATCTCTCACAATGCCAGCGGTCATGAGGCAATGTCCATAGACCAAGCTTGAACTGCGTTCCCGCCACCTCCACCTGCAAAGTCCCGTCCTCTGGTGCCACCGACAAGCAGGTCTCCGCGCCAGGTTGGACGCTGGCAGACTGCTCGCCCAAAGTGACTGTGGTCCCTGCGGCCTCTGCCCCCTGTGCGAATCGCAGTCGTAGAGTCGCTTTGGAACTGGGCTGTATCGTGCGCACCTCATGCAGTTGCGGGAGCCTAGCGAAAGTAGAAATTCCTCCGAAGCGAGGATGCGCAGATGGGGCCAGAGGGCCAATCGCACCATCCTTGCCCAGCCTGAACCTTGTCATGCCAGCAGCCTCCATCTGCTGAAGATCTTCTTGAATCGGAGGTGAGGGTCTCGGCAAATCAGAGCTGCAACTCACGGGCTGCAGGCTCGCTTTGCTCCTCCATTGCGGTGGAATCTTCTCGGGCTCTGCCAAAATTGCCGAAGGTGTCCAATCAAAATCCTCCTCTCTCCCAGCTTTGCGCAGGCAGGGATAGCAGGTGCACACGTATTGCCACTTGTCTGCTGAACAGCGGCAACCATACCGTGGCTTTGCAACCGGGTTGTGACCAGCATCCATTAATCCTACCCACAGCGGCTCATCATCATGTCCATTGATGTGCGCTGCAATAGTATGGATGCGGCGCATTCGGGCCTAAGATAAAGTTAGAGACAAAGCCAAGCTAAATTTGTTGGGCCGAAAAGCTAATTCAGAAGAAAGGTAAGACGCAGGGCAAGGCAAACAAAGTGATCATTCCACATTGCGCGCATTGTGCATTGCACATTGCGACCTCGTCCTCGTCCGTCGGCAGCGACTCATCGGTCTGAGCATCAGTCCATGGCGCAGAGTGCTCCTGAGTACGAGAACTACGACAATGTGTGCTAGAAGAGTCGAGTGCAGGCTGCCTCCGTGTGTGCCTCTTCAGCATCGGACACCTGAATTCGCACTTGAGCACTTTGATCTCTCTTCACAATTGGCCCTAGCAATCGGGCCTGCTCGTGTGAAACAAGTGCATCACTAGGACCTGGAAAGAGTGTCTAGCAAAGCAAAGGCAAGTCTGATGCTGGAAGGCGTGCGTGCCTGCTTGCGAGGGTTGAGACGCGTGCGATGCATGAGATGCCTGACATGTTCAAAGTCTCCACTGCCACGCCCGGCGGTAAAACACACACAAAAACACAAGTGCAAGCCAAGGTCAGAGCTTGGCTACGGCACCAGCCTGAGACTCTCAAAGACTTTTTAATCAGCAAACTGCCAAAGTCTGATGACTGACATGTGAGGCAAGCAAGCTGAATGCTATGGCCTGGAACCCAATCCTCCCGCATTGGCAGGCGGCCTTCCCAAGGCCCAACTATGAGAGTTGTAGAGTCTGAGAAACGCGCCTGGGTCCATCACTGCACTGGCTTGCAGCATTACCTCAGCTGGGAAAAAGTCGACGAACCTATCGGTTCGTAAAGCCTGGACCGATGTGTGCCTCTGCCAGCTCGCTTCCAGCATCTCCATCGAATCCACCCTGAAGCTGTCAGGACGGCCCAAAAGACAGCTTGCTTGTCTTCTGATCTCCATGAATGGGCTCAGCACTCGAGTGGGGTCCAACTGCTTTCACGCATAAGGCCCCACGAGCAACATGACCAGTGCTCAGTTTCTTGCTCCCAGGGAGGGCAAGCGACCACCGCTGCGCCATCTGCGAAGGCAGCAACAGCGTATGCACCTTCCGGTCTGCTCAATGCCAACTGGTCAATTGATTGAACCACACATGTTCATCCAGTCCCGCAAGCACACTAATCGCACAGGCGAACAGCTTGACACGCAAGCACAAGGAGCACGAGCAAATGATTGCATCCTTGGACCTGCCTTCTGCCCAGCCAACAGCATCTCTCCAAGGACATCGAGCGATGGCCGCACCAATTTCACATCTACAAGCAGATTGTCTTTGCCCAATGAGCCTGAGGGTTGAGGCGACCAGAAAGCTGATCCTTAATGGTTCCATCTGTCTCTGCGATTGGATGATAAGCAAATTGGAGTGGTTTCATCTTTGTGCTTACTACTTCTGTGGCCTCTCTTCAACTCAGTATGTGTGTGTGTGTAGCTGTGTGTGTATGCTCAGCAGCAGCATTGATGGCAACTATTGATCAAGAACACTGAGCAGGCCTTTCAGTTTGTGCCTCTCATTGATATCGGTCAGCAAAGCTGCAGGTTCGAAAGGCAAGATACGTTTGAAAGCGCATGCGATGGAAGCCACGGAATGCATCACAGGTCAGCAAGTTGGCGAGAGGAGCTGCAAACATTCAATATTCTATAGCATGCCAGGCTCAAAGTGATTTCGCACCTTCCGTGCACACCTGACTCACCTGACTCCTCCGACAATATAGGTGAAACTCTGCGTGTCCCGACTGTCATTTCTTTGTGACGTGCAGGAACGGCCAAGCTGACCCGATCATCTCAAATGATTGGAAGGCGGACCACGCGCATGAACGATCTCGCTGGAAGACATTGCATGTCCTTCTCCATGCCAAGGGACTGCATGACTCTGGCTGTGGTAGCCCTGAGCGAACTGATGCCCAGCATGCCCAGCATGTCCAGCATGCCCAGGATGGCCAGGATGGCCAGGATGCCCAGCATGGCAAGGATGGCCAGGATGGCAGGCATGTCCAGGATGCCCAGGATGGCTGGTATGGCAGGCATGGCAGGCATGGCCGGCATGGGCAAGATGGCCAGGATGGCCAGGATGTCCAGGATGACTGGCAAGCCCAGGATGGCCAGGCTGGCCAGGGTGGACAGGGTGGTGCCCATTGTCCTGGCCTTTGCTCGCATGGCTGCCGTCAGGCCTGTGAGCTCCAAGTGCATGGTTGTGATGAGTCTCCGGACCCTCTGAGTGAACGTATCGCCTCAGGCTGCTGTGTAAAATAAGTTCAATGCCTTACAAAGCCACTCAGATTCTGGCACGCTGCGAGACTTTGAATTGCCTTGCCACTATGCTGAGCACAGCAGAGCTGACAAACACTAGCAGGTTCACATGGAGTAACAAGCGCGTTCCACATGGAGTAACAAGCGCGTTCCATGAACAATGTTGCCCCACCTGCTGAAAAATCGTGAAGAACAGAACGAATGCGATCAAGCGCTGACTCATGAGGTGCCTGCCAGCCACTGATGAGCGCAGCTCAAATCACGTCTGTGGCTCAAGCCTGCGCCACCAAGCTCTCGGACAGAGTTAGGCCAGTGGTGGAGAGTGGCATTGGCCGACTGCTGGCGACAGGGCTACGTTGGCCTGGTGAGTCGCTAACCAAGAACAGACAAGACTCACCCTAAAGGACCGATGCTGTTTCCCCGCCTTTAAAGAAGGGAAATGCTATTACAATGCGGCTGCACCCAAATTCACGTTGCAAGCTCTTTCTCGCTCTCTCTGTCTCTCTCTCTCTCTCTCTCGCTGAAAAACTCGTGTAACCCAAATATAGACAACCGAACAACAAAAGAAACAAACAAACAAACAAACAAACAAACAAACAAACAAGCAAACAAACAAACAAGCAAGCAAGCGATCAATCAAACAATCTATCTATCTATCTATCTATCTATCCATCTACCTATCTATCTATCCATCTATCTATCTGTCAGTCAGTCAGTCAGTCCGTCAGTCAGTCAGTCAGTC